AAGTGTGATTACAAAAGGAAAACAGATGGTGAGTTTGGGCTTGGAGCCTGATTTATAGTTCAGTATTTTGAGATGAAATATGTTGTTAAACAACTAAATAAAAAATGGCACTGCCTTCTTAGAGCCTTATATTAATGTTTTGTGTAAATAAAAGCATAAAAATATCAAATTGAGGAACATAGTTGTCAAATTGATGGAATCATTGCAGATTTAGCAGATCTTTACTGAAATTAATTAATGTTGTCTTGTTGTGTATTTTCTGTTTTTACATTTTTTTCATTACTTGAATTAATATCTTATATTTGATTGTGAGAAATAAGGCAAAACATGATTCAGCAATATTGTTAGATCTATAAGTGCTGTTCAGAAGAAATTAGCATTTTGAAATAAGGTAATTGTGTTAATTAGTCTGATAACGGGCTGTAGTTTTAAATAAATGAACTTCAGCATATTTACTCAGGGCTTAGGTTGAGCTTCTCAGCTGGAACAGGTGTGTGATATCCGCCTACGCCTGCAGAAAACAATGTTTTTATGCTTTCATGGACCAGTAGTCTGGATTCATTTATCGGTTTATTGTCCAGTTGTAAGATTTAAGGCCTTTTCTCTGGTATAAACTGCCAAGTGTTTACATAGAAAAAAAAGTAGATTTGTTTTCCATCTTTTGAAGGATCATTCAGAGCTTTTACGCCAGGCATTTTATTTTTTCCAGGTATGTTATTGTTTTTATTAGGAGCTTACGGTTTTCTCTTTGTAAAATGCACATTTAAGGTATGCAGGTTAGTTGATATATGTAATCACATGTAATAGGTATTCCGTAGGCACATTATCTGTTGTCTCACTGGGAGGCAGCAGATCAGCAATCATGTTTTTTTATGTTTAGATGAAATAAACATTTATCTGTGTTTTGTATTGATATAGCTCTCTATTTCTGAAAGTTCTTTTCTAAAAAAAAAATGTAATATTTACATGTTAAAAGTTTCTGAAATCAGTAGAGTTGAAATTATTTTAAGAAACCCATATAGATTGTTATATATAGAGGAAATATAAGCAACGTTGTTGACGTGAAACCTCTTTTACACTTTCTTGTTAAATGTTTGTCTTTGAGAAACTAGGCTTTTTTCCTGCTGATGTTAGAGAAGCTATATTTAATTTCACCTCCACATTACCTCCTTGTTCCTAAACGGTGATGGTCAGTTATAGGAGGGAAATTTGTTGCCTAGCAACAAAAAGGTCCGAGCTGACTATATAGAGGGGCATCGGATTTTTATGGCAAACTGACAGACTAGTTCTTAGAGGATGCTGAGTTGGTAGAGGTAGAAAGCAATGAAATGTGAAATGTAAAGCCTGGAGATGATTGAGTAATGTGATACTCAATTTTGAGACGTTGAACAGTAGGATTATATCACTGCAGTAACTGATTGTTATATAATCCTAACAATATTACAGGGTTGTTGCTGTTTTTCAAGATATTTGTGCAGAGTTTAGCATACATCTTTTTTATTGAAAAAGAATTGCAAAGGAAAAGTTGGACATGCACCAATCAATATGCAATAGATCGCAGTTGGCTGATAGCATTCTTATCGGTGTTGATCAGAGTTCTAAAAATAGGTTGAAGCAGTAGGATTAGATGACGTTTATCACAACAAAACTCAGCCAGGGCTCAAATTGGTGTACATGGATTCATGGAGCGACTTGCAGTGCGGAACCAGTATGGAGAACGCCACCTCCACCTCCAGGATTGGCAGCTGGTTGCTTTTAGCAGTACTTCTGCCTACAGTTTGTGGCCCTGTTGTCCTGCTTTGGAGGACAAATCCAGTTTTAAATTCATGTCAACATTGCTGTCTGTTATAAAGTTTCTTCACCTTGGATTTAGTGTTTGTGCTTTTTGAGTGATAAAAACGCTCAAGATATTTAGATTTAGTGGTACATGAAATCAAAATATCATTTATCTAGACATGTTTTGCTGGAATCGACCATCCCTTCCTCTGGAGCTTTCACTGCTGAAGGGTTCTGAGCAAAAACAAATGAGAAACTCTGGATCAAGTCAGTCTAACTGAAAATTCTCATTGTTCAGCTTTGGATCTTTGCCTCAGAGACTCCGTCCTCCTCTATCTCCAGTCAGATTTGCACAGCCATCCATCTGGTAACGTTATAAAGCGGATCCTTTTCCTGCCAGGATTTATTAGCATCGTCCTGAAACGGTCTTTTTTTCCATGAATGAAATGAGAAGGCGGCTCAGAGTTGAAATGAGCAGCTGTATATGGGCTGAAGGGGTAATCATTGCAACCTTCTGCTTCCTCAGCTGACAGGTAAATTCTCTGTATCATTATCTGCAGGATTTTCATCTTCTTCAGTCACTCATCTTTACAGGACTTATTAACCAAACCACTAAACCATATCTGCATTTTTACCTTTTTTTAACCAATATTTTATCTCAAGGCTAAAGCCTTCACTTACATGGCAAGATATATGCTTCATTAATTCATCAGCTGAATTGGACCCATATCAGAGATCTGCCCACACGTTCAGCCTAGGTATCGGAATGGGGTCAGGGGAAAATTTATGCATCTTTAATCAGGACAACAGCAGTGGTTCGAGAAAGCTGCAAACACACCTTTTAAGTTTGTTCTCTGCAGGCTTTTAGCTAGGGACGTTTAATCGGGTGTAGACCTTGGTGTATCTCTTCCTTAAATTTTGAAATTTAGACTCTTTAAAATGCTGCCATGGAAGGCAGCTATTTTTTGTCTTTGTTACAACACTATGTTTGTCCTGATTAGGGGAAGTACGTGTGCTTGACTAGAGGTGGAAATTTCATAAGGAAGAAATTAGATCATTTTTAGGTTCAATATTATGTTTCGTAGGTTAATTCAAACAATCAGAAAGCTTAATGCTACGTTTACATCACGATTTTAGCATGCTTCATTTTTGATGGTTGTACACATTAAAGGGGAACTCCGTTTTTTTACATCGGCCCCTTGATTTTACGTTATTACATCATCAAGCCGGCTACCGTTCATTCGTCCTGTCCCCTGAACTGCTGCTAGTTTTACTCACATATCTGGAAGATGTCTAGTGCTACTACCACAGATGATCTCGCTCTCCAAATGGAATTGAACTATTCAGATTAGCTAGCCGAATGAATAGAAGAGGTAGAGCGTAGCTGCATGTGGCCTGGGCTGACTGTTTGTGACGTTAGCGTTTTTCAGTTATGTGGTATAAACTACAGGCACCAGAATAATAAAAGTGATCATATCTTGCCAAAAGGTTTTGACATTTTTAGTAAATTTAGGCATTTATAAACTGTTTCAGTGGAGTGGTTATCTTCCTCTGCATGAGCAGTGCTGTCTCTCTCTCTCCCTGCCAGCTCCCAGATCAGCTTCTCTGATTGGTTGATGTGGCATGTTAAGCAACTAAAGTTTGATTTTTACAACTATAGCATTTGCTGCTTGTGAAATTTTTAACATTTGAGCAAAGATTCTGGGGGGAAATTAGGGCATATCAAAGCCATACCTAGCTTACTATTATTCTTAGTAAAGGGCATACAATGTACACCGAACGCATTGCTAGCTAAGTTCTACTGAGTTTCAGTTTGATGGCTGCTGAATGTCTCAGTTCCACCTGGAGGAAGAGGGTCTGTTTTTGTGAGAAAGACTTGTCAGACTTAAATGGAAGATGAATAAAAATTAGGGATGCACAATATAATCGGCCCCCTATCGGTATCGGCCTGTATCGGCCTTAAAACTGAATATCGGACATCCGCCACCCCACCGATATTTAACCCGATATTTGATCAGCTGCTGAGTTTCTAAAGTCAAAAAAAAAACAAAACTACTTCTTCCTCAAAAACGAATATTTGTATGCTGATATATTGACGCGGTATCGATCTATTTTACTAAAAAAATCTCACAAGAATTTGCAAAATATCTCGAGAGTTTGTAACAGAACGATGAAATTTCACGAGATTTTGAAAGTAAAATAGATCGATACCGCGTTTTTAAAAATCAATTTGATATCAGCATATGAAAATATATTTGAGTATATTATTTTTGTCAGAAATAGATAACAAAACTGCTATTTTCAATGACTACTTATTTTTGTCCAGCTTTAACATCAGTATCGAGATGGGGGAGGGGGGGGGGGGGGGGGGGGG